ATTATCATTCTCATTTTTATCATTCTCATCTTTATCATTATTATTATTATCAATATCCTTATTATCATTATCATTATTATCATTATCATTTTCATTATTATCATTATCATTATTATCATTATCATTGCTATCATTATCATTATTATCATTGTTATCATTATCATCATTATCATTATCATTATCATCATTATCATTATTATCATTATCATTATTATCATTTTCATTATTATCATTATCATCCTTATCATTATCATTATTATCATTATCATTATTATCATTTTCATTATTATCATTATCAGTATCAATATTGTTATTATCATTACCATTATTATCATTATCATTATTATAATTTTCATCATTATCATTATCATTAATATCATTATCATTGTAATTATCATTATTACCATTATCATTAATATCATTATCATTAATATCATTATATTATTGTATTATCTTTATTATCATTATCTATATTATCATTATCATTAATATCATTATCATTATAATTATCATTATTTTCATTATTATTATGATCGTTATCATTAATATCATGTTCATCAGCATCGTTATCATTATTAATATTATCATTATTATCATTATCCTTAATACCATTATCATTATTGAATTATCTTAATATTATTATCATTATTACCCTTATCATTATAATCATTAGTATCTTTTTCACCAGCATCATAGTTATCATTATCATTATCATCATTATTATTATCATTATCATCATTATTATTATCATTATCATTATTATCATTACCTTTATCATCTTTATCTTTATCATTATTCTTATCATTATGATAATCTTCATTATCATTATTATATGATTATCTTTATTATCATAATCATTATTATACTTATCATTATCATTATAATCACTGTCATTATCAACATTATCTTTATTGCCATTATCAATAGCATCATTTTCATTAATACCTTGATCAGATTTGGGACCAGTAGGCTAGGCAATCCTGTGCCTCTCATTCCCTTAGAATTTGCTCTTTACAGCTTCCTTATGGAGGACCATGGAAAAATGTTTTATTAAACGAAACAAAAGGATACGAATTGATAAGAAGATAATGTATTGCTATTATAACATCGACAATTACAAATATTTTTATCATTATTGTCATTATCATTATCACAATAATATTGTCATTATCATCATTATCATTATCACAATAATGTTGTCATTATCATCATTATTATCATTAAAATAATTATCATTATCATCATTATCATTATTAAAATAATTATCGTTATCATCATTATCAATATCGTCATTATCTTTATAATCATTATTATCATTAACATTATCACTGTTATCCTCATCATTATTGTTATTATTATTATCTTTACTATTATTGCCATTATTATCATTATGATTAATATCATCATTATCATTATTATCATTACTATCATCATTATCATTGTTATCATTATTATCATAATCATCGTTATCATTATCAACAGAACTATTATCATCATTATCATTATCAACAGTACTATTATCATTATCATTATTAATATTATCATTATTACTATTATCAAAAGCATCAGTTTCATTAGTATCATTATCATTATATTTAATGTTATTATCTTTAATAACATGATCATTATTATCATTATCAATATTATCATTATCAATATTATCATTATTATTATTAAAAGCGTTATCAAAAGTATCATTTTCATAAGTATAATTTTCATGAGTATCATTATCATTATTCATATCATTATAATTTAGATTATTAACATATGCATTATTCTTATTCTCATTATTATCATTATCAATATTTTCATTATAATTATTATCATTATCATTATTATCGTTATCATTATTATCATTATCATTATTATAATTATTTTCATTATCATTATTATCATTATCATTTTTATCATTATTATCATTATCATTATTATCATTATCATTATTATCGTTATCATTATTATCATTGTCATTATTATCATTATCAATATTATTATTATCATTACCATTATTATCATTATCATCGTTATCATTAATATTATTATATTATTGCATTACCCTTATTATCATTATCAATATTAGCATTATCATTATTATCATTATCATTAAAATCATTATCATGAAAATCATTATCATTAAAATCATTATCATTAAAATCATTATCATGAAAATCATTATCATTAAAATCATTATCATTAAAATCATTATCATTATAATTATCCTTAATATTATAATTATCATTATTTTCATTATCATTAGTACATTTTCATCAGCATCATTATCATTATTAATATTATCATTATTATCATTATCTTTAATATCATTAGCATTATTGCATTATCTTGATATAATTATCATTATTACCCTTATCCTTATAATCATTAGTATCTTTTTCATCAGCATCATAGTTATCATTATCAATATCATCATTATTATATCATTATCATTATTATCATTACCTTTATCATCTTTATTCTTATCATTATTATTACCATTATGATAATCTTCACTATCATTATCATCATAATCATTATTATAATTATCATCTTTATCCTAATCATTATTATAATTTTCCTTAACATTATAATCACTGTCATGATCATTATTATCATTATAAACATCATCATTATCATTATTAATATTTCCAACAATATGATTATCATTATCATTATATTTATGATTGTTTTCAGTTGTATGATTTTCATTATCATTGTCGTTATTAATATTATCACTATTATCACGAGCATTATTATTATCATCATTATTATCATTATCATTTTTTCATTATCTTTATTATCATTTATCATTATCTTTATTATCATTTATCATTATCTTTATTATCATTTATCATTATCTTTATTATCATCTAGCATTATCATTATATTCACTGTGATTATCATTTTTGTAATTTCCATTATTATTTTTATCATTATGATCATTATCATAATCATCATTATTACCATTGTCATTATTATTAATATCATTACTGACATTATCATTATTATCGTTATCTTTATTATAATAATATTAAATATTATTAATTACATTGTTATCATTATTAATTATCTTCACCAGTATTTGCATATCATATCCTCATTATGATTAACATTATTATCACTGTCACTATCATTATCATTATAATCATTATCAAAAGTATCATTGTCATTATTATCATTATCATAATTAATATAATTAAAACCGAAATCATGATCATTATTATTATTATCGTTATCATTATTATCATTATCATTATTATTATTATTATTACTATCATCATTATTATTATCATTATCATTATTTTCACTATCATCATTATTATTATTTTCACTATCATCATTATCATTTTCATTATAATTGTTATCTTCATCATTATTGTCTTTATCATCAATAAATTTTTATTATGATTTTTACCATTATCATTATTTTTTCATTATCATAATTATCATTATCATTCTTATTACTATTATTATCATCATTATTATCATTATCATCAACATTATTATCTTTATAGTTATCATGATCATTGTTATCATTAATATAATCATTAATGATTTTGAAGAATATCATAGTCATTATTATCATAATTATCAATATTATTATCATCATTATCATTATTATTATTATCCTTACAATAATTGTAATTTATCAGTTTTATCGCTATTATCATTAAAATTACTACCATCATCATCATTACCATTTTCATCATTATCATTAGCTTTATTATATTATCATTGTTACCATTATTATTATTGTTATTATCATTAATATCATTAATTTCCTTATCTTTATCATTTTCATTATCATTACCATTTTTATCTTTAGCATCATTATCAATATTGTCACTATCATTATTAATAATATCAGGAATTTTATTATCTTTATTATTTTCTTTGATTATTTGCAATATTTTTTAACATTATTATTATTATTTTCATCATAATGTTCTTTTATTATCATTTTTTTATTATTATCATTATTATTAACAGTATCATTATTATTATTATCATTTTATCATTATTATTGTTATCATTTTATCATTATCATTAATATAATTATCATTAATATTATTATAATATCATCATTATCAACTATTATCATTTTATTATTATCAACTAATATTATTTTATCATTATCATTATCATTATTAACGTTAACTTCATAATCATTCTTAACATTATCATCATTATCATTATCATCTTTATCATTATTATCCTCATAATCATTATCATTATCTTTTTTATCATTACCACATTTATCTTTACTATTAGCGTCAATGTCGCTAGTGTCACTACTCTTATTATCATTATTAATGTTATGGTAATCGTTATTATCATTTTTGTCATTATCATTATTATTGTCATTATCTTCATTGTTATTATCATTTTTATTATTAACGTTATTATCAACAGCATTGCTATTATTATCATTATCATCATCATTCTTTTTTTATAATTATCATTATCATTGTTAGTATTATTGACATTAATACTATCATTCTTATCATTATAATCATTATCATAATCACTTATATAATTTTCATTATTATCATTATCCAGATCATTTTAATTATCATTATAATTAATATCATTATTATCATTATATTTTTTATCATCATTATCAACATCATTGCTATCATTTTCATTGTTGTCATTATTGTAATTGTCATTATCATTATCATTATTCTTATTATAATCATTTTCATTATAGTATTTATCATTATCAATATTGTCATTATTATTACCATTGTTTTCATTATCATTATCCTTATTCTCATTCCCATTATTGTCATTATCATCGTTATCATTGACATTATTGTAATTATCACCATTATCATTATAATTCTTGTCATTAATATTATTATCACTATCACTATTTTTTATCATTATCATTATCATTCACATTATCATTATAGTTATTAGTATTATTGTTTTATTGTTATTTTCATTGTTATCACAGGTTTGCTATTTATCCAACAATCTTTGTTGGAATTCCTCTTAGCCTCAGGATCTCCCAGAGTGACTCGCGATGCACCGTATCAAACGCCTTCTTGAGGTCGATGTAGGCTGCGAGCAGCCCACGTCCGAACTCACGACGGCGCTCTACAATGACTCGAAGCGCCAGGATGCGGTCTATTGTTAACTTACCAAGAGTGGAACCAGATTGCTCCGGCCTCTGGTGCTTCAGCAGGTGGTCTCTGATACATCTCAGTAAGATGTGCGCGAGTACCTTGACTGGTATACTGAATAGTTATTATCATGATATATTCATACAAATAAATATATACATTTCTTTATCTATACATATAAATCCATATATACATATACACATATATATTCATATATACATATATATAAATATATTTATGTATACATAATCATAAATATATGTAGGAGTATGTACATTTTTTTACTCATATACACATATATACATACATACATACACATGTATATATATATATATATATATATGTGTGTGTGTGTGTGTGTGTGTGTTGCAGAGAGCCAAGAACCGGTGGGTTTCACTGGAAACGCTCGGGATCTTTTTGTGGTACTTTCTTGCATCTTCGATACATCTTGAATTCTTCTCTTTACATGCAATTCATTACCATCCATTTCTATTCCAATTATTACCGTTAAACTGAAATTAACAAATCTTCCACTAATACATGCTTTACATATAACTCTTATTTCACACAATATATCTCAATATTCATATTACATTCTCCTTCAATTAAGTCTTTATATAGCAATGGATCCTTTACTTATACTAATATAAAAATATATCACAGGATTACAAAGATATACGCAGATATATTACCTCAGACACCTTACTTCGTTTCCCTCAGTAACAAAATGGCTCCCAATGTTTATGATGATTAGTTATGAAAATGCCCTATAGATGTCGTACACTTTAGAAAATGATATGAGGATATACTCATCTATTTCATACTTAACCTAATGTTAGTAATATCACAATATCATAGGAACTGATTGTTTATAACTAAGTATACATTTTGTCCCTGCAATAAGAATATATATATATGTATATATATATATATACACAAATATGCATATATGTATAGATATATAAATATATATATATATATATATTTATATATATATGTATATATATATATATATATATATATATATATATATATATATATATGAATGATGAAAACACTCTACCGTGTTGATATTATGGTAGAAAAACCCACAATGTTAAAAACTAGATTTATTGAAAATGAGACGACAGTTTCGGAATCCACATGGATTCCATCCTCAGACCTGAGGATGGAATCATATATATATACATATATACATCTTCAAAGCACCTTTGGAAGCACGTGGGGCAGCCTTTCCCAATCGCCAAGACTTCAGGAAAAAGCGTTAAGTCGAGCACAGTTCCTTTTACAAAGATATGTGCGCTGTCGCCCGAGGAAAGGCACGTGCTCATATATATAAATATATATATATATATATATATATATATATATATATATATATATATATATATATATATATATATATATATATATGTACATATATATATATATGTACATATATATATATATATATATATATATATATATATATATATATGTATATATATATATACACACACACACACACACACACATATATATATATATATATATATATATATATATATATATATGTACACACATATATATATATATATATATATATATGTATATGTACACACATATATATAAATATATATATATATATATATGAAAACTGTACATTTACTTAGCTGTCCTTCATATATATATATATATATATATATATATATATGAAAACTGTGCATTTACTTAGCTATCCTTCCTATATATATATATATATACACATATATATATATATACATATATATATATACATATGAAAACTGTACATTTACTTAGCTATCCTTCATATATATATATATAGGAAAACTGTACATTTACTTAGCTATCCTTCATATATATATATATATATATATATATATGTCTATAGTGGCTGTAGTAGCAATAGCAGTGATAATTTTAATTATTAATATTAAAATGGTTATAATCATATGGATAATAATAATAGTTATAATGATATGGATCATAGTAATAAAAATATATCACTAATAATAGGGGTGAGGATAATAAGGATACTATTAGTCACAGTGCTTATATAATGATAGCAGTAACAAATAATTATGATGGCAATAAAAAAAATACATGCAAAACCCTCCATAAACGTCAGTAAGGGAAACTGCATAACAAACACTGCCCCGCGATATTGTTGTTCTGTACATCCCTTGCCCAAATTTGAATATAGGACAATAGAACATACCATATTCAATAAACAAAACTGTTTTTTATATGAATTAGAAAAGGGTATCAACAAGATAACATCAAGTAGGCCTAGTTCATAAACAAATTCCCCATCTCCAAAACCCTGGGGATGTTCCCTCAAGGTACAGTCAGACTTCCCAGAGATTCGTCAAATCACTCTGCCTTCTCCTCTCGTTCAGTCGAGCAGAGTTCCCTTGAGCGAAGGATCTCTGCGTTGAGAGCCAAGGGAAGACACGCACAACCAATTAGCTGAAAGGAGCGTAGTTGTACAGAGGGTGTGAAACAATAAGGTAAGGTCACGGGGAATTAGTTTAGGTGATTCACACAAGTATATGTATTTTTGTGGGTAAATATGCATCGGTGTAATTATGTGGACATAGCTAAGTTTATGTGTAAACACACAGACACATATTCATACATGCATACAAATATATGTGTGTATACATATATATATACACACACATATGTATGTGTGTAATATATGTAAATATACATATATTAATTCTGCAATATATTAATATATATATATATATTCATATATACACATATGTATATATATATATATATATGCGTGTGTGCATATATATACATATACAGAGTGAGAAAGACGAACATATATATATATATATGTGTATGTGTGTGTGTGTGTATAAATGTGTATTTATATATAAAAATATAAATATATTCATATATAATTATATGAGTTTATGCGCGCGCGCGGACATGTGTATGTCTTTGCAGTGATGGGGATCGATTCATAGAATTGTCTACCGCGATGCCGATGCTTCGATTCCTCTTAGATATTTAAATCGATACCGGTACTAATGCGTGTGTTGCCGATCCAATATCACCGATGTTTTGGTGTGAGAAACCCACAGCATCCCTACAGTAACATTAAGTACACATGCAGATGAAAGGTGCGTTGATGGCAATGTATAAATTAAGAGTATTAAAAAACCGTTCCTTTATGGTAAAGGAAAAGAAGAGATGGTCCACCGACTCTCACAATTGACAGAATGAGAAAGACAGAAACATTTGTACAGACGTGCATAGGTAGAGAGAGGGAAAGAGAGACAGACAGACAGACAGTCAGGCAGATACAGAGCTAGAGAGAGATAGGGGGAAAGAGACAAAGAGATAGAAAGTCAAAGAGAGGAAGAGTCAGAGAATAAGTCAGAATGACAAAGAATAGAGAAAGAGTGGTCGCAAAGAGAGAGAAAAAGTCACACACAGAGATAAAGAGTAAAAGAGAGAGGGATACAAAGTGACACGGATTCGGTGAAATTTAGAAAGAATGAGGAAGAGACGACTGGAAAGGAGAGATACTATGATATATTATTGTTCTCATTGATTTTATGAATTAAAAAATAAGAAGATACATGAAATATCTGTGTTTTTTTTAAGATATTTGATAGGTATTTAATGTTAGACCAGGCAATTTGCTGGGTTTGCAGTTCATGAATAGTAACTTCAAGTTGAAATTGGTCACAAATGTATGGACGTACACATATTTTCCACATTTTGGAAAAGGAAGACCTTTAGCGACGCCGATAACGCGAAAATGTTATTCCAGTATTCCAGTGCCAATGCAAGTATCGATCGAATGTATCGCCGATACACTGTCGCTGCGGCTTCGCCCGTTTTGTTGGAGTTGGTTTACTGAATGAATACTTCTATGGATTCTGGGGAAAAACTATTGTTGTTGCTTCTTCCTTTATTCTCCATAATTGATTGATACAATTTCTGTATCTTCTTCCATGTCCGTACTCATACGTAAAACTGCAAACAAATAAAGTGGAACGTAACAACTGTGGCCACGTGGTCTTATATACTATTAAATTTGTAATAATTCACACAATTAACTCGATTAAAGCACAACATTGAATGATAACAAACTTATAAAACATAAAATTATAATAATAGGATGAATGAAATAGTGTAAATAATGTAATTCCCCTCCAAACGTGTATATGTTCATTACTTATGTTATTATTATTGTAACCTCTGTGATAACTTATGTTAAGAATAATACTTCAGAAAAATTCCACAATATTGTATTTCTATTCATAAGGCTTTCTTTCTTAACTTATCAGTGTATATGTTGTAATGGATGTAATATTATAAACAAATATATATGCATATATTTTCATATATATACATATATACACATATTTGTGAGTGTGTATGCGTATGTGCGTGTGTGCATATAAGAATACATATACAGTTGTATGTAACCAAAAATCTATCTATGCATATATATGCATAAATAATACATAAAATATATGTATACAAGCACACACAGACATACATATATATATATATATATATATATATATATATATTTATATTTATATATATAAGTGTGTGTGTGTGTATTCAAGTATATTAAGATTACAGACATAAGTATATAAATGTATATAGATAGATATTTAACGTCTGTTTATGAAAGCGTTTGTCTTTTTATTTTGATTTGCTTTTCTATTGTCCACTCACAGGGCGACAATGAGTTTCCTGGCAGACCGGATGCTTTTGGCCCCACTCACGGGTGAGGAAACATTCGGCAAAGGAGTCATCATTAAGGGAGAGTTCAACGACGACGTCACCGAAGAGACATGTCTGGGTATTAAGGAGGAACCATTTTATCATGGGGATGAAGC